CTACCCAGATATCTTGGGCTCAGTGATTTTGATCACTTGAAGGTCTGGCTCAGTTTCCATACCTATCAAGAGAGGTAGTTGATCTGACTCCTTGAGTAGTCTCAAAGTGGCCACACAAGGCTAAGAACTTGGGTTATAAAAATCAAATACACCTGAATTTAAATCCTTGGTCTTTTAACTTAACAGCTGTGTCCCCTTGGGGAAGTCACTTTACCTCTCTGAGCTTCAGCTACCTTCTCTTTAAAATGAACATTAATAACTACTACCTTCTTGATGGTAGTGGTTGTGTTAAGTGCCATCTAGTCGTTGCTGCTTATAGCAACCCCATGCAGGCTTACTGAGGAGCAGCTACTGGTTTTGAACCACTGACCTTGTGGTTAGCAATCCAGTGCTTATCCTACAGCACCACACCAGGACTCCACTAACTTCTTGTTGTTGTTAAGTGCCGTCGAGTCGGTTCCGACCCATAGTGACTCTGAACAGTTTTTCCGAGGCTGTAAATCTTTACAGGAGCAGAAAGCCTCATTGTTCTCCCGTGGAGCAGTTGGTAGTTTCGAACTGCTGACCTTGCGATTCGCAGCCCAATTCGTAACCATTACGCTACCAGAGCTCCTTCCACTACCTTCTTAGGGATGTTAAAATGAATTTATTTAATAGGCATTGAATAAATGGTAGCTATTGTTTCTGCCACTATTATTTTGAAATCCGTTCTACTGGTATATATGTTTTTGTTAGGTGCCATTGAATCAGTTCCAATGAGACGGAAGCGACTCGATGGCACTTAACAACTGCAACATGTATCAGAGCAAAACTCTGCCCAGTCCTGCTCTATCCTCACAATTGATGCTGTGTTTAAGACCATTGTCGCAACCACTGTGTCAGTCCATCTCGTTGAGGGACTTCTTGTTCACTCTCTAAAACGCCTGAAAGACAATATAGTTTGTGGACCAAGAGGTTGGGGTGGTTGGCTGTGAAACCCATGCCATAGTTGTCACATGAGTGTGCTTTCATCAGCATGTAAGCTGGTTGCCAGCGCAACCACGCTCCCCTCTCTGCTGTTCATAATTAATCCTTAGTGTAGGGAATCAGGCACCACCCTTCCTTAAGTCCTTTTGGACTGACACTTTGAAGACTCACTTTCAAAATTACATAATTATTGAAAGGAATAATATTGGTGATGCATGCATGCCCCAAAGTAAAAATGATCTTAAACATAGAAATTCTATATATTTCTTAAAACTTTGTGTATCATCTATGGGGTAAAAAAATGAGCAAGCAGAGGCGTTTTTTCCAGTGTTTGAACTGTGTCATTTCTAATCTTTTATTTTAGGTTTGTGTATGTCTGAGTCAGTGCATCACTAGGGCTAGTGACAACCAGTGCAGTAACTCATGCCAGATAGAATTCCTAATAATGTTTATGATCAATTTCAATAACAGACAAAACAGCTTTGTTGTCGGTATTCATACAATCTAAGGAATAGTACATTCAAGCAATTTACAAAAAATCAGACTCTTATAGGATAAGCACTGAACTACTAACCACAAGGTTGAAGGTTCAAAGATACTAGTTGCTCCTTGGAAACCCTATACAGAGTCACTATTAGTCAGAACCAACTCAACAGCACTTAACAACAACAAAATTTTTGTAAAATCACCATTTAGTTAATAATGGTGTTGGAGGAGAATATTGAAAGTACCATGAGCTGCTAAAAAGAACAAACAGATCTGTGTTGGAAGAAGTGCAGCCAGAGTGCTCCTTGGAGGCCAGGATAGCCAGACTTCGTCTCTCATACTTTGGACATATTGTCAGGAGGGACCAGTCACTGAAGAAGAATATCATGTTTGGTAAGATGGAGAGTCAGAGAAAAAGAGGAGGGAGGACCCCCAATGAGATGGATTGGCAAAATGGCAGCATCAGTGGGCTCAAGCATGGCAACAATTGTGAGGTTGGCCCAAGACCAGACAGTGTTTTGTTCTGTTGTGCCTAAGGTTGCTTTGAGTTGATACCGACTCAATGGCACCTAACAACAACAATAACATTTAATTACAACATTATTACTTAAAACATTACTAGTAAGTGGGTAGAAGAAGTTTGAGGATTTTTTTCTCCTTTTCCTTTAATTACTACTAAATTCTCAAAGCTATTGATATTGGTTCAAGAATAGAATTATTACAGTATTATAGTTAAAACACAGGAGCTTGGTGACCCTAGAATAAGCACTGGACTGCAAACCATGAGATCTGTGGTTTGAGCCTGCCAGCTGCTCTGTGGGAGGAAGAAGAGGTTTGCTGCTCCCACCAAGATTTACAGTCTCAGAAACCTTATGTATGTAGTTAGTAAGTGTCATCGAGTTGGTTCTGATTCATAGTGACTCTGCATAGGGTTTCCAAGGAGTGGCTGGTGAGTTTGAATTGCCAATCTTGTGGTTCAAAGCAACCTTGTGGCCCATCCATTACTTATCCTGTGGCACCACACCAGTACTCCCAGAAACCGTATACAGGGTCAAAATGAGACACTGTAAGAACACTGGCAACAATGAAAAAATAGGCATTCTTGTGATTCGTGGTGTCGTTGTAATTGGGTAATAATGACAGCTCAAACTGGAACACGTTGTTGTTACGTCCTGTCTAGTCAGTTTTGACCCATAGCAACCATGTGAGTATACAGTTTCCAAGGAGCAGCTGGTGGGTTCGAACCACCAGCCTTTTGGATAGCATTCCTGCACTTACCCTACAGCTCCACCCCAGGACTCTGGAACACATTGTTGTTGTTGTTAAGTGCCGTCGAGTCGGCTTCGACCCATAGCGACCCTGTACAGGGTTTCCGAGGGTGTAAATCTTTACGGAAGTAGAAAGCCTCATCTTTCTCCCGCAGAGCAGCTGGTAGTTTCAAACCGCTGACCTTAAGGTTCGCAGCCCGATTCGTAACCACTACGCTACCAGAGCTCCTTAGAAAGTTCAAAAACTAGATGAGTATAGAGTTTTAACCTTATAGATACACTGATACATGTAAACTGGGTTTATGAAAAATATTCTTGTTATAACTAACAACACATGTTTTTATAAAAAATAACACATTTCTGCTGAAACACACTGCACAGAAATTTTATAGGTAGTCATCCTGGTGTGACTCCTCTGACAGCATCTGTACCCCTGTAAGGAGTCAGTGACAACGCGAGTGTAATCTCCTGCTAGGATGAACCTCGGTTCCAGTCACTACTGGATAAAGATGTTTTCACTCTCTGTCTTTCTTCATGTGCAGTCATCATCCTGTCTCCTACCTTTTTAGCTCTTTGTTTGGGTCCTGGAACTTCACACTCAACCCACACAATCTTTGCTCTTTACCAGTATCACATAACACAGTTTCTTCCCTTCTTTTTTCAATGATCTATTTTGTTTTTGTTGTTAGAATATATACAACAGAACATACATCAATTCTATAGTTTCTACACATGTGATTCAGTGATGTTGATTACATTCTTCAAATTGTGTGACCATTCTAACCCTCCTTTTCCAGGTTCATCCTCCATTAGCATAAACCACTGCCTCCTAAGTTTCCTGGGTAATCTTGCCAGATAACTCATTTTCTTAAAACACAGATCATGTGACACCCCCATCCATTAGTTTGCATTGGGCCCATGACTGTCTGGTCTATGGTCCTGAGTCCTCTGCCTAGCTTTTGAAGCTGATTTCTCTCTATTATCCCAACAGAGACCCATTGTATGAGTTAATTGTCTACTATGCATTTCTCCCTCCAGCTCTTTCTTCACTTGGAATCTCTGATCTTGTCCTTTAAACTCTTCCAGTCCTGCTACTCCATGGATGTCCTGCCCAGCTTCCATCTTTATGTAGCGTAAACCTTCATGTCTGTGATCCTAGAAACTAAAGGTACAGGACAAATGAAATAATCCCTATTCATCCGCCATTTTCCGCACTAGCCTACTTTCTGTCTTCAGGTATCTTAGGAACTTTATACTTGTTGTTCCTTCTGCTTAAGATACAATTCCCCCACATCTTCACAAGGTTCTATTCCTCATATCATCAATAGAGAGAGTTGAATAGGGAAGAGACCTTCCTTGACCATTCAAGCTAAGTCAACCCCTGATGTTCGTATGTTGTTGTTGTTGTTAAGTGCCGTCGAGTCGGTTTCGACCCATAGCGACCCTGAACAGGGTTTCCGAGGCTGTAAATCTTTACGGGAGCAGATCGCCTCATCTTTCTCCCGCGGAGCAGCTGGTAGTTTCGAACTGCTGACATTGAGGTTCGCAGCCCAATTCGTAACCACTACGCTACCAGATTTTCATATGTAGTTCATCTTATTCATCCTTACCTAAAATTTTGTTTTTTTCTGCCTCCTCCTTTAAGATGCAAGTTTGCAAGGATAGGCACTGTTTGCCTACCACAGTAATCCTAGTATTTTGAGCCATGCCTGGCACACAGCCAGGCCCTATTTGTTGACTAATGTGTTTCAGATACTGTACTTGACCTTGGGATGATAGGCCCTTTTGGTTCAGACATTGTAGGGCTCTACATCATTAATATCCAGGTGAGTGAGCTATCCAGTGTTGGGATAAGCTACTGGTAACTTTTGGAAAATTGGTTTCCATTTATGTGCCATTTATCATCTGGTAAGATCTGTTTAATTGTATACTGGATTTTGCCTCCCATGTGTAGTTCAGAGCAGAGTAAGAATGGCTTCAGTATCACAGGTCTACTCAGAGCTAGCCTGGGCTGCTGGCATCCCTGCAAATACTGTATATTGGAAAGACTGTGGGAAAGCCATGTTGCTGTTGGGTATGGCCTGTTGTGACCAGCTGCCCAGTCCAGGGACTAAGAGTTCTAATCCTAGTTTGTACCCACTGGCATGCCCTGTTTACCCGAGGCCACTCAGTTTCTTTGCAGAATGGATTTGGGGGATTTTAATGGGTTGTAGGGTTTGAATATGAAGGAAAAATATTCGTAGCTTGCATAAAATTCTAATCCCCTCTCCCCCTTCTTAGATGTGAACGATTAGAGGAACAACTAAATGACCTAACAGAGCTCCACCAGAATGAAATCTTGAACTTGAAGCAGGAATTGGCCAGCATGGAGGAGAAAATCGCTTATCAGTCCTATGAACGAGCCCGGGACATCCAGGTTAGCATAAAGCAAAAGACTAGAGAATTAGAAAGAAAGGAAGGAAAGGGTGGGAGGGAGATGGCGAGAATAAGAGTATTAAGAGAAGCTTAGAGCAGTGGTAACACAGCTTCCCCTTCAAATGAGGTGCATTTCTTTTGGGGATGGTATTATACCTCCTTGAGTTCTGGAAAATGTTTCTTTTGGTCACAGTCGATGGAAAACCACCTATTGATAACTGCTTCAAGAGCTGCCCTGACAAGTCTCTCAGCTATTTTGCCTATCTTTTCTTTCTATGAGGAAGGGATTTTCGTCCTCCTGAGGCTACATCCAAACCTTAATGGGCACTTAAATGATACTTATCTTCTGTGCTATTTACAAACTGCCAGGTAGCATAGTGGTTACGAATTGGGCTGCGAACCACAAGGTCAGCAGTTCAAAACTACCAGCTGTTCCATGGGAGAAAGATGAGGCTTTCTGCTCCCATAAAGATTTATAGCCTTGGAAACCCTGTACAGGGTCGGTAGGAGTCGGAACCGACGCCACGGCACATAACTACAACAATAGCACAGAAGATAGTATTGTGAAAGGCCGATAGCCCAACTATTTTATGGAAAAATGGAACATTTAAGCTTTTTTTTTTTTTTAAACCCAAGCTGAGAAGCATGTCTAAGGAAAAGTTCTTAGTGGTTTCTTATAAAATCATTGTGAATAAACTAACCTAAGGTGAAACAAGGGAAGTGGCCTAGGACACTTGTATTACAGCAAACTAAGAGAAGCAGGGAAATGGCTGGCTCGCTGGCCCAGCAGCCATCTTCTGCAGACCTCAGAATTCTATTTATGGTTCAGTTTTGTTTTATTTCTCTCCTTCAAGATCATTCTGTGCTGAGCAGCATCCACTGTCTGTTCTTTAGCTGGCTCTAACTAAATGGGGTTCTGTCTTCTTAATATTATAATGAGATTTGTATCTGTTCATCATGAAGTCCAAGAGTAAGGTAAAAGGTATTGTTACTAGGGTTCCAGTTCATATATGCATGGGTTTATTCCAAACAAAACATATTTAAGCATGACTCTGTGATTAGTAGATGGTGGCAGACAAGTTCTCTCAGTAACACACTTGTCTTAGTCTCATTACGGTGACTTCCAAAAAAGAACGCTTTTTGTGTGCCATGGAAAAAAGGAGGATTTTGAAGTCAGTGCTAATTTCACACTTTTAACAAAACTCTAATAGAAGTCTTTCCAAATCATTGAAGCTTTGCAGAAAGTTTAGGGAATAGTGCTCAAAGTAAAACAGCAGGTCTTAGGTGGATCAAGTGTTTTGAGGCAAGCGAGGGAAGAGTGTCACCCTAGACAACTGAAGAAACTGTGGCTGAAGTCTGAAACTGGTGGAAAGAGACCATAAAATTCCTATTGGTACAGTAGCTATGAAGCTGGGATTTCACATGGTTTAGTATTTAACATTTTAAGCAAAAATATTTTGACCTCAGCCAGCTTTGGGCTTTGATGGGTGCCAAAAGCATTGGGTGAAGACCATCTACCTCAAAGAGCTAACTTTTCCAACACTCCTTTAAGGAAACTGGAAGCTAATTAAGACAATTTTGTGGAACAAATAGCTGGGAGCAAGATCTAATCAAAAGAGCAAGTTCCAAAGGGATCTATCTCGGGCCAGTTCAATTCAAGGCACAGAGATTGGAAAGCACGGCAACTGTTTCTTTTGGATTCTAAAGGGATCGTCTTGGTAGATTTTCTCAAGGGACATAGGCCAATCACAGGGGCTTATTAGGGAAGTTTTAAAAAAAATAGAAATCTGTATTGGTAAGAAAAGGCCAGGAAATTTAACATGAGCAATTTTTCCCATTATTCTTCAAAGTAGCAATAGTTGTCCTGTAAGAATATTGTTGGGATGGGCGGGACTTGATGGCAGCTAGGGTGGAGGCGCAGTGAAGTTCGCCGTCAACAATACCACAGTACCAGGCAAAGCAGATCCAGGACAGAGCTCCAAAACTTGGAACCACAGAGATAGGAATATTTTAAAAGTTTGAAGGATTATAGCTACTGGAACTTGAAGCTAAAGGAAGAAATCACGTGCTTTTGAATCTGCCGGGCTCAGAGCCCTGGAGCCAACATCTTGGGTAAGACCAAATGGCAAGACCAAGCAGGGAAGCAGAAACACCACGGAAAAATGCCGCGGGAAACTTGGAGCAAACGTGGACAATACACTTTGTAGGTTTTGCTTTGTTCTGATTTTTTGGTTTCTGGTCATTGGTGCACCTACATTCAGGTGACTAGAGGGGGAGCCTGAGCAAGTGGACACCCCCTACCCTCACTACTGGTGTGTTCTTCTGACAACACATGCACACAAATACTCAGTCCAAGAGCAGGCCCTGAACATTTTTTGTTTGTTTGTTTGTTTTAAATATGGGAAAGGGCAGGACAGGGTTGTAGAGAAAGAAAGAGTTTAAAAACAAAACAGGCCGAAAATTAAAGCCTGAGGTATAGCATAACAAACAACACTGGCATCTTGAAATCTCTCGGGCAGCTTTGAAAACAAGAAGCTGAAGAGAGGACATTAAAGTCATACTCATATTAAGCTACAAATTTTTTTCTTCTCCTCCTCCTTCTCTCCCTCCTCTCCCTTTTCTGTGATTATAGACCACAGTATTCACTCTAGTTTTTTTTGTTGCTGTTTTGGTTTATTTTTTTCTTGTTTCTTGTTTGTTTTTTTGCCCACTGGTGCTTTTTTATGCTCCCCCTTCTACTTTTGGGGAGCTCTCTCCCTATAATACCAAAGAAGAGTCAGAAACTGCTGCCATATAGCCAAGCTACAATCATACTCTATAATAACACCAAAACCCAGGCAAGAAGCAATACCAACTGTGAAAAAAACACCTGTGAAAGTTACTCTCCGTTAAGCAATGAGAAGAGTGAAAAGGGGAGCCCACATCCTGATCACATCTGCCTGGAAGCAATCAGAAAGCATAAAAAAATACCAAAACACATACTCAGGTATTAATGCCACAGATAAACACTAAACATGTCCAAGAAGCAAAAGCAGATGACCATATCAGCACATGTCCAGAAACAAGATAAAATGTCTGAGACAGATGACCTACAAGTAGACCTGGACTCCATTCTGGAAGGAGGCCAAGCCTCGCAAATGCCTGAGAAGGAATTCAGAAAAATGATTATAAAATGTTTCAAAACACTTTAACAATGGAGTTGAGAAAAATAAGGAAGAAGTCAGGAAAGTGCTACAGGAACAATCTAATAAGATTGAAACAGCATTGGAAACAGTTGAAAACCTACAGAAAGACATCCAAACGATCAATAACAGAATATCAGAAATAGACAATACTCTGAAAGGGCAAAGGAGTAGAATAGAGGACATGGAAGGCAGAACCAGTGAGCTGGAAGACAAATCTTTCAATACCACTAAGATAGAAAAACAAACACAAAAAAGGATTTAAAAAAAAAAAATCGGAAGAAGGTCTAAGATTCATGTTGGACAACATGAAGAGAGGAATAACTTAAGAATTATCGACGTTCCAGAACAAGAAGAATCACACAAGTCCACAGAGGAAACAGTTGGAGATCTCAAACATCTTGAAAAGATAAACTTTCAAGAAGCTCAGCAAACCCCAGGAAGGACAGACCCCAAAAGAAAATCACTGAGACATATCATAATCAAACTTTCCAAAATCAGAAGACACTCCTGAAAGCAGCTAGGGAAAACAGAAGTGTCGCATACTAAGGCAAGTAAGTCAGATTAAGTTTGGATCTCTCAGCTGAAACAATGCAAGCAAGAAGGCAATGGGGAGACATATAAAAAACTATGAAAGAAGTGACTTACGGAAAAAAGATGGCGGATCAGGTGGAAGTGTAGTAATGAGCTCTGCCGAGAACAACACAGAATACAGGACCAAGAAGGCTCAGGGAATGGTCCCAGTACTCTGAACCACATATAA